TTCTGAGATTGCCACATGCTTTCTGGAATCCAAGGCAAAACAATAATTGGCATCTGATCAGAAGAGACAAGTTCTCTTAGTGCTCAATATTGGGATAAAGTGGAATTAGTCATGTGACTACTTTTGTAAGTGGCACTCAACTGCACAGTGGACAGTATTTTTAATGATGGAAACCACAGATGCAGACATATTCTGCATGGGGCCTGTTAAAAATATCAGCTCTTGATAAGTCCAGTGTTATAATATTAAAAAGTAACCTTAAGGTGAATTGAGAGTTAATGTTGTCTTACATTGATCTGAGACCAACTTGCAAGGAGGAGGTAGGGAAGGGAGAGGAGGGGGAGGGGAAGGAGGAGAAGGAGTAGGAAGGGAAATTATTGTTGAAGTCTTAGACTTCAATCTTGATAAACTTCCAGGACACTCCTCAGTGTATTCTCTTTTTTCATCAGTCAATCATTTAAAAGGACCAACTAACAAACTTGCATTGGGGTACAAAGAACCCCTCAGATGGCAGAAGCCTGTGTACTTGAATGTCTGTGGAAAGCCAAATCCTCTTCCAGCTCCCTGCAAACCTCTTTACTGAGAGCAAAAAATAAATCTTCAAAAACAATTTAAAAATTTTATTTTTATTTATGTGCATGTGCATTGCCTATATATATGTAAGTGCACTCTTGTGTGCCATGCCCACAGAGGCCAGAAGGGAGTGTCAGAGCCTCTGGAACTGGAGTTACTAATGGTTGTCAGCTGCCATGTGGTTGCTGGGAACACAACCCAGGTTTTTTGCAAGAGTAGTCAGTGCTCTTAACTGCTGAGCCATCTCTCTAGCCCAAGAAATAAATCTTTAATGTGATAAATCTCTGAGATTTGTTAAATTTTATAGCAAGCTGTTTTACTTAGGCTAATATACCTACAAAATATTAGTGTGAAATCTACATCTATACTTTGATTTTTTAAAACTTTTAAAATATTTTATTATTTTTATTATATGTCTATGAGTGTATTGCCTGCACGTAGGTAAGTGCACCCATGTCGTGCAAAGCTTGTGGAGGACAGAAGAGGCTGTCTGATCCCCTGGAACTGGAGTTACAGACAGTTGTTTGCTGGGATTCGAGCCTGAGTCTTCTGCAAGAACAGCCGGTGTTTTTAACCGCTGAACTGTCTCTCCAGCCCCTACTTTGGTTTGTTTAAAATGCTACTTTCATAGCTGTTAGTCCATGTCATGATCAATTATTTTTATGGAAGTCCTTTCCAGCTTGGATCTTGTAATAAGAGTATTCTTCTGTTCTATGAAAGAGATTTCCTTGGAACTGTTTTTGCTTGGAACATTACACAAAATAGAATGCCAACTAATCTGATGTATTGTGTAATGTGCAAAACAGTTTGGTATGTTATCTCTTTAGAGTCTTTCAACACCTTTGAGGAATATGCAAGTCTATTCTTGTCCCCACTTAATTTTTTCTTTACTTTGCTTATTGTGTGTGTGTGTGTGTAGGTCAGAGGACAAATTCTGGAGTTGGCTGATTCTGTCTTTCCACAGTTGATTCTGGGATCAAACTAGGTCTTCAGGCTTGCACGACAAGTGCCATTACCTGATGAGCCATCTCACTGGCCCTTGTGCCCATTTTATATGTGATGAAACTGAGACTAAGAAGGTTAAATATAAACTAGGAAAGCTAATTTACACAATTGTGTAAAGATTAAGTGAGGGAAAAAAATTTCACCTGTCTAGAATCTGGCACTGAAAGGTCCATTTCCTTTAGCTTTTCTGATTTTCTTGCAAGTTGATCTATTACTATGTAACAACCATTCCCAAATTGTGACTCATAGGACCTGAACTGGAAGCTGTGAACTGAGGGTGAGGGTAGTGACAGACCTTCTTGGGTAGCTCCTTTTCTTTCTTTGATCTCTCCACTTACCTGTTTACCTTGCAGTCCCAGGGAAACCAGGGCACTAACAGGCCATAGGATGAGGAGAGAGAGAGAGAGAGGGAAGGAAGGAGGAAAGGAGAGAGAGAGACAGAGAGAGAGAAAGAGAGAGAATGCTAACCTTGGAAAGAAATCACACTGTGGTACCCGAAGATTTTCTTAGAAGCAAACAATCAGGGTGGGGCATTATCTCCATGGGAATAAGAATTAAATTCCACTTTTTTAAAAAAAATTATTTTTATGTGTTTGAATGTTTTCCCTGCATGTATATAAATGCACCCATGTCATACAATACCCGCAGAGGTAGGAAGAAGGTGTTGGATCCTCTGGAACTGGAATTACAGATGGTTGTTAGCACCATGTAGGTGCTGGAAACTAAACTCAGGTCCTCTGAAAGAATAGCCAGTGCTCTTAACTGCTGAGCCATCTCTCCAGTCTCCAAATTCTACCCGATTGGAGGAAAGTCAAAGAATGTGTGAACACTGTTTTAAACTACCACAATCTCCTTTTATAAAACATTGCCTAAATTAGTGCAGACGTACAACCCGGAAATGCATAATTCATCTGAGGTGTTCAGCTGGTCCACCAATATTAGATCCAAATTCATAAATCAAAATTTCAGTTTCACTACACCAGAAAAAAGTCTCTGTGATCAGCCTTAACAGGCCCCAACTAGATACAGTCCTTTCAATTTCTTCAGGAAAATATAATTGTTTTGCAGGAAAAATATTACCCACAACAGTCATCCATAAGCACCTTCCAGGTTTCTCCTAAACACCTGTGCTTTTAATTTTTCCAACAAATGCACTCATCTGCGTGTTTCCCAGATACATCGCCTTTTGCTGTTATTATATTTGTACTGTTCTCTCTTCTCAAGATCCTTTTGTACTGATTCTCAGATCCACCACTTACGTGTCACCTCACCATCACCATCATCAAGCCTGCTGGGCTCTTCCTGTGGGCCAGTGAGGCTCTTTTCTTCTTCCTTTGTAACATGTACTCCAGGCTAGCCTCCAACTTGCTATATAGCTGAGGCTGGCTTTGGATCTTGCCTCTACTCAAGTGCTGGAATTACAGATGTGTGACACCACTCCCAGCTGGGGGAATATGTCCCAAGATCAGGATCTGGCACATGGCCTGAGGAACATGCTTTTGTGGCATTCTTTTAGGCCCAAACCGCCACAGTTGGAAACTTCTATTGAATTGAGTCATTTTAGAAAGCTCAAGGCTTTGAGCAATGGCATGGGTCTGATATCTCTGAGGTCTCACTAATGAGTTTCTGCAGTTCGTACTCTTTGGACTTCTAGTCCTTTCTGTGTTCCCACCGCGAAAGCTCACTGAGAGACTGGGGTAAGAATTAGTGAAATATGGGTAAATGGATGCTCTTTTCAGCAGTGGAGCTGGGTTTTCTGTACTGAAGCCAGTCCTAGCTCACATGAGTACTGTTGTGACATTTTGTAGTCACCACGTTTTAAAAAGTAACGAGATAGGTGCAATTGATTTGAATGGTTTTTTTGTTTGTTTTTGGTTTTTTTGAGACAAGATATCCCTGCAGCCCCAGCTGGCCTGGAACTATGTAGAACCAGAGAGGCCTTGAACTCACAGAAATCTGCCTGCCTTTGCCTAGTGCTGGGATGAAAGGTGTGGGCCACCAAGCCGGGCACTTGAATGCTTTTTTTTTTTTAACCCAATACAACCAAAGTATCACCATTTGGAAAATGTAACTAATATAAAGGCAGGAAATAGTTTCCATTCTTAGTTTTCATGCTAAGTCTTGGAATATGATGTGTGTTGTACAGCTCAAGTAGAACAAACGACATTTCAACTCAACAACCTGTGGCCTACGGACAGGACACCTAAGCTTAGATGTGGTTCCTTCCTTGGGCCTCTGACATCTCAACCTTTTTCTTCCAGGATTGCTCACCTTCTTACTTTCAGATCCCAGCTCAAAACACCTGTCCTGAAGACTCCATTTGATGTGGCCCTCTTCCTCCCTTCTCCCATTAACCTGTTTTGTTGTCAGTACAGAACGCAGCTCTTCTAGAACGACCTTACATTATTAACTATTTACTTGCTGTCTTTTCCATCAGGTCTTAGGCTTCCAGGGCCAGATCTTTTAAAAACCTGTTGTATCTTTTATGGTCTTCCTAGTCTCGGCACCACGCCTGGCCCATACAGGTTCAGTACACTCTGGGGACCAGAGCATCGGGCGTCTATAAAGTAGGCGGAGGGGGGCAGGTGTGACCCGCGTGCAGCCCGGCTTGGCCCCCTCCCTCGCCGGCGTGGGTGTGGGCGGGTGGGTGTGTGCGGGGTGTGCGCGGTAGAGCGCGCCAGCGAGTCGGGAACGCGAAGCCGGGAGGAGCCGTGAGCATAGCGGAGCCCGCATCGCCGGCCGGGCAGCTCGCAGGTGGGTGGGCTGCGCCCCCAGCCGCACTCGGGGTCCGCACCGCCCCCGCCCCCCCCGCCCCGGTCCCAAGGCAGTGCGGAGCCTGGAGGTTGCTCCGGAACCGAGCTGGGGACACTGTTCCCACCGCGCAGAGGCCGGCGACCCTCGGCGTCCAGGGTCCAGGCGCCCCGGACGCTGCGTTGTGGCCCCCGGGCGGCCTCCGAGCGCGCTCGGGAGGAGCGGGATCCCCGGGCGCCCGGTGAGTGGCGGCGTATCCCTCCCGGGAGGCTCTCCGGCAGAACCTTCACCGCGACCCGGGCTCCAGGGAAGGCCTGGCCGGGGCGAACTCGGTCGGGAGGACTAGGACCGCAGCCAGCCCACGGCCCCGGTGTCCGGGTGGGAACAGGTGGCGCGGGCTGGGTAGCCGCTTTGTGTGCGGCGCGGGGACCCGGGCGGGAGGCCTCCACCGGCCGCTTCCTTCCCGCCCCTGCTCCCCCGGGTGGCCGCACGCTGTCGGCCCGGTAACGGAGAGTCGTCAGGAATGTGCCTCCGGGGACCGCGAGGCTGGGTGGTGCGGGGGTGTGCAGGGGTGGCACCGCGGGCCGGAGCCTGCCTGCGGCTTCATTCTTCCGCTGCGCCCTGGAGGTGGGGAGCAGGTGGGCGTGGGCGGAGGGAGCGGAGGCGGGGACGCCAGGCACTTCCGGAGCTGCTTCCCAGCCCGCAGACCCACCCGCGATCGGGGACGTGGGGGGCCCTCGGGGGCCGAACTGGGGCGCCCCGAGCCTGGCTTTAACAAAGGGTGCGTCCCTCCAGTCTGCTCCCGGGAGACCTGGCCTTAGCCCTGGAGCTCTGCTTCTTTTAGGGTTGTCGTTTTATTCTTCCTTTTTTTTTTTTTTTTAAAAAGGTCTGGAGCTGGATGCATGAGGGGCCGGCAGAGGCGCAAGAAGCAGTGGTGATGGTCTGGGAAGCGGAGCTCAAGTGCCCTGGGCTTTGGTGAGGCGTTGACAGTTTATCATGACTGTGTTCAAGCAGGAAAACGTGGATGATTACTACGATACCGGCGAGGAACTTGGCAGGTACCAGGAGTGGCGGAAGCGCGCGCCGCTGGGTGTGGGAAGGCAGATATAGAGGGCAGTGGGCGTTAAACAAATGCAGTTTGAATGTGGCACCCTCGTCCTTCTCCGAGATGTGCAAATTATAGAGAAAACAGTTGCTAATAAACCCAGGGAAGGCCTGGGACCAGAAATAAACTGCTTGATCCAAGGCAGTGGAGGACTGGCCGCCTTTCAGTGCTTAATTTTTATGCAGTGTATTGATCAGAACCCCTGGACAAGAACAGATTTAATTGTCTGCACTAACTCCTGTCAGCCTTCTCCCTTCTGAAGCAATTAGGCAAACGCTAAGATTCTAACTGCATCTGGAGTGAGCTCCAGTGTGTGATTTAAGCGGAACACAAATTAATTAATGGGCTTTTAAAATTTTAATACTCTTCCCCTGTGCTGAATTTTCAGTGTAACAGGAGCCAGGATTGGTAGGTAGGTAGGTAGTGGAAACTTGCTAGATGTTGGGTGTGAATTTTAAAACTTCTTCAACCAGGAATTTGATTACCTGCATGGTGATGGTGATGGCTTCGGTACCATTTGTGATGTTAAATTTTTAACAAATCAATGAGAGCCTAGTGCAGCTGTCTGGATTCAGAGCTTATTTCCACCGGTGGGAGCTGTGATTCTCAGCACAGTGTTTTCAGCTTCTAACTGAACAAAGAATGATTTCTATGGAAGCATCCAAGGACGGGTGGCTGTTTTGAGTATTCTGTGGAGTGCATTGATTTCTGCTTTATGTTAGCAAAAAACTCAGTTTTCAGACCTACATTTAAAAATCGGTTTGTGGAATTTGTGTATTTGCGTTGTGACTAAAGTAGGCAAAAGGATCTTTAAACAAACATGGTATATAGTTACTCATACAGTGTGTGGATTGAAATTTGTATTTTTCCACATGTACCTGATATCCTCATACCAACCTTTTTTTTTTCTCTTCTTCATGGAAAGGAAATCTAAAAAAATCCACACCCTAGATTACCTAATGGGAATTGTGAAACATGTCTTTACTTAAACTTAAAAAATTCAAATGATAGCTCAGGAATGAAAATGAATTTTTTGTAAGAAGTTGCTGTAACAGAATATTTGTGTGTGTGTTCTATGTTGGTGATCAGACCCTGTGATTATGAAGAGATAACTATATATTGGAGATTTTAGTGAGTGAATAAAAAGCAAGGTTCTAAAAAAAAATCACATTTCATGAATATGGTTAAGATTGATGTTTAAGAGTGTGCAGTTGAAATGCTTGGCTTAACTGGAATTAAATCACCCTGGCCTGTGGTTTACAGCAAGAGGGGTGTATGTGGAATTTTCTTTTGGAACTAGAAAATAGGGTGTAGAAAAGGATTCCAATTCCATTTCTGTGAGGTTGCCTGATTCTATAAATTCTCTTGCAAAAACAAATGGTTGGTTAAAATTAGGTGAGATGATTGCTTTATGAATAAAGTGTGTTGACCTTGTTCACATTAAGATCTTTTGATGGAATTATATATTAAGAGAAAGGGGGAAAAGGGAAGCTTCCCTGTGGTTGGCAAGAGGATTTGTGATCCTCACTGTGTGGGTGTAATGACTGGGGAGATGGTTTGCTCATTTGTCACTAGCATTGTGCTTTGATTTTGGCTCTGTCTACATTTCTGTGTATAGCTTTTCTCTCCTCTGTACAAGACTAATTGATGAGTTGTTTATTAAATAATTCATGTGGTCCAAGAATTTTAAAAAGAAGTGCACTGGAAATAGTGGGTGGTGGGGATTTTAAAAGTAAAACATACATACCCATCCATCTTGTATAACTGCTCTTGTTTTTGCCAAAAGATGGAACGAATGGTTGACTTTTTCCAAAGATTTCCCATGTCCTGTGGTCCTATGTCTGTCTTGGATATAGTCACTTTAATGTAAGCTGAAGAGGTAGGTAGATGCTACTTATGTGATGCCATCTGTCATTGGAGGATGAGAGTGGAGAAAGATGTTCAAGGACAGAGATGTGAAAATGGGCAAATGTGTGGCACTAACACAAGGCAGTTCTGAGCACTGCTGTAAGCTGTGAGCAGTGACTGCTGAGGAGAGCAGCATCCAGGACTTAAGACTTTGTCTTTTCTTAATGGTTTATTTTATTTTTATTTATGTGTATCTCTGTGTGTGTCTCTGTCTGTCACATGAGTGCAGGTGCATACAGAGGCCAGAAGAGGGCATCAGATTCTCTGGAGCTTGAACTACAGGTGGTTATGAGCCACATGATGTGGTTGATGGGAAATGATTTCAGGTTTTCCAGAAGAGCAGCATGTACTCTTAACAACTGAGCCATCTTTCCAGCCCCGTCTGTGTGTCCTTAATAATCATTAAGTGGTAGCTGCTCACCTTATAAATGGTCTGAGAAAGTCCGTATCTAGAAGGGAAAATGACAGAGCAGTAGAACACACTGTTATTTTACTGTTGGGAAAACAAAGAGTGTGTGTGTTTGAATGCATATCCATGTATCTGTGTGTTGCCCAAGACCTTTATAACTACATGTTTTTTTCAGGTGTGGTTGGTTAGACCAACCGCTGGACAGGTAGCCTAGATCTGATAGCTTTATAATTTGAACAGGTCACCCACCTATTCTGGTATACATAGGGGGCCATGGGCGTTAAACAAATGCAGTTTGAATCAGGCATACCCCTCTTCCTTCTCTGAGATATGAAAATTACAGAGAAAACACTACTATTCTGACCCTTGGGCTCTTCATCTATGCAATGAGAAACCTAGTATTATTTCACAGATGTAGAAAATCAATCTAACATTGAAAAGCAGTTTATAAAGAGTTAAATGAGAACAGGTATCTGTAGGACTGGTCAAGATAGATGGTGTTCTAGGTAGGCTGATACACTTGTTAATTCTTTAAGTTTCTGTTTACCTTCTTGAGGAGGAGGCCACTGTGTGAAAAGGTCTTGTTGGAGACCATTGTTATAGCTGACAGCTTTGGTCTGTCTGATTCGGCATCATTCGGCCATGGTCTGGTGCTCTGTTCTCCAAGCAGAAGCAAAGAGGCCCAACATCTTTAGAAGACTTTGGTGACCCTCACTGTTGACTCCAGGAGGCTGTCCAGCACCCCACCCTCTCCACCAGAGTGCTGAACACAGAATCTCCTTGGTGGTATACACTGCTCCCTGAGAGGAGTTCTGATAAATGCAGTTTTCTTGTCTGCTGTTGCACCAGGTCATTTTAACAGCCCAGCACTCCCTGGAATATCTTACCACCTCGGGCTTTGGGCAGCTGCTTGCTGGCTAGCCCACCAGTGGCTCTGGTTATGCTCTTGGCTGTCAGCCTGACTTATGAGTCTCCTGCTTCTTGTCCACTGCTTTACTGAGGGACTGGCCCTCTCCTCTGCCCCTTAGCCTGCCCTTATGTGACCTATGGTCTACTTCTTTAGTAAGTCTTTTCCGTAATAATTTTAAAAATATTTATTCACTTTTTATTTATGTGTATGTGCATATGTGTGTGCAGGTGTGTGCACATGTACATGTGCATGAAGGCCAGAAGAGGGGTCAGGTGACCCCCTCTATCACTCTTTGCCTTGTTCCTTTGAGGCAGGGTCTGTTCCTGAACCTGGACTCTGTCACTCACATTTTCTTGGCTCGGCTGGAAGCCAGCAAGCTCCAGCCATCTCCTGTCTCTTCCTTCACTCTCAGAGCTGTGGACCTGGGGTTTCAGGTGTTATGTGGGATGCCTGGCTTGTTATGTGAGTGCTAGTATCTGAATTTCAGTTCTTGATTGCACAGCATGCACTCTTAAGCACTGAGGCATCTCTGCAGCCCCTCCGTGATGATTTTTTCCCTTACAGAAGACAGTTGACTTGTCTGCAGCACCATGTTCCCGCCGGGGTTTCAATCACTGCTCCTCTTGGCCCTTGCAGCTTGTTCTGGAGTTCCTTTGGGTGTGCTCTGTGGTCTGGTGTCACTGTGGTCCTTACTCTAGGATGTACAGTGTGCTGAAGACACACAAGGTGATGTGTGATCCATGAATGAACAAATGTAGAGCGCCAGGGCCACATTAAGATCAGAATGGGGTGGACTTCAAGTGCAGAGGCTGATGCTATTGGTGCCTTGTGGATTCACCTTGGTATATTGATTTGGAAAATGGGAAGACACCCACATTTACAGGTGTAGGTGAATTAGAGACCCTGGCTCTGAACATCTGACATACAGTCACTGCCTGATGCGTTCCGTTTAACATCCTGTTTTCCGTATCAAAGCAAGTGTCACTTCAAATTGTCTACTTGATTGCCCATGGTACAATGACCTTGAACTTGTTCATCATTTAATGCCTAACTAGATATGCAGCACTTAGTAGGTGCTCAGCAAATGCATGGTGATTGGGTCGATGCATGAAGAGTACCTTGAGAAATGTATAGATATCGGTAAGTGGTGACCTGACCATGGTGAGCAGACACTGAGGATGCTGAAACCAAAGCTCACAGAAATGAAGACTGCTTTCACGTCTCCAGACTCTGCCACCCAACAGGAAGGAGCACAGCTGCTGAATTTTCCAAGTCTGAGATCAGTTTTAAGCAAAATAATTGCAGTGGAGCTTTAACTGTTTCACATTAGCTGAATAATGGGTGGAGGGCAGTAATTCAGATTGGTTGTATTCTCATTTGTCATAAAATCTGTAGGCATTTTAACTGGAGTAAGAAATAGAGAGCTGAGGACAGTGGTCACCCCGTGAGGCCAGGAGGGAGAAGGCATTCCGGTGAGTGTTCTCTGTGGCAGCCGGCCTCTGAGGCTGCAGCTGGGCTGAGTAGTGAGGTCAGCCTGGTCCAGCAGAGCTAGGTGGAGTTTTTCTCTTCTCATTTCTGACTGAATGTTCTCAGATGTTTCCTCTGAAAGGCAAGACCGCAGAGCTTTAAGAGGTAAAGCTGAGACACAGTCATGTGCTGTGTAATGATGTTTATAATGGAGCCGAGGGATTCCCATTGTCTGCTGATGTCATCGCCATTGTCCTGG